TTATGTACAGAGAGAACTATAACTACAAGCCATTTGCGGTATGATTTCCTAAAATGATAAATACAGTGGAGATTACAAAACAATGTTTGAGCGGCCCAATGCTGACACTGACAATTGTAGGGTGAGACAAAATGAGGTGAATCTCATTAACATGGTCAAGAAATTTCATGGTTATACTTCAAATCAATGAGAAATAATCTGCATGAAGAAAATGAAGCCTGTTTCAAAGCCTTAGTAATCTACTGTAAATTGAGAAAATATCATTCTGATTAGTATAATGTGAATAATTTTTATTATTAAATTATTACTATATTGCATATTAAACAGTAAAGTACATCTGTAAATAGTATTTTAGTATTTTTTTAATGCAACTTTTCACACTGCAATAATGAGACTGAGTGTAAAATTATTATTTTTTTTTTATTATTATGACTCATTGGCCCGTTCAACCAATAGCAAAAGTTAGGAAGCAGCATTATTCAGTAGATATTATATTATATAATTTTTGTTAATATTTTGAATGAGATTTTTTTTTATATTGTCTTATGTTTTCATTTTATTTTTTTATGTTTTCATTTTAATTTTTTAAGTTTCAGTAATTTTTTTTATATAGTTTTAAGTTTTGGTTTTAGCTTCAGTTTAAATAGTTTCAGTTACATTAGTACTTCAACTTAAACTAAACGGTAAGAAATGTTGTCATGGCAATTAACGGAAATAAAATTCACTTTGTTAAAATTTTATTTTATTTCAGTGAATATCTTATTTCAGTTTTAGTTAACCATAACTGATAGGAAGTGTTTGAAAAACTTGTATAATGATTTTTTTGTAAAAAGATTAGGGCTGTCCAAATAATCGAATGTGATTGTCCTGCGCATCTAGTCAGTAAAGCCGGTTCTGTGATTAGTAGTAAATCTCCATCACGTGCTTTCAGATGGAGCAGCATTTACTACACAGAGCCGTAGTTCACTGACAAGCTACGCAATATCGCGTTCATTATCGGCGATGAATCGCCTTGCGTAGCTTGTCAGTGAACTACGGCTCTGTGTAGTAAATGCTGCTCCGTATTCGATTATTTGCACATCCCTAATAAAGATTATAGCATATTATAACAAACATTAATGTCATACTATAAAATAGCATATATTACTTGAAATCATAAATTGTTAATATACTAATAATAATTGTTGTGTGATTACATTATGCATTCGGTTACACGACACTTGACTAGTGGTCGACCAATATATTGGCAAGGCCATTATATATTCCGATATTTGACATTTTTTCAAATATCGGCATCACCCGATATTTTTCTGTTTGGTCAATGTATTTGAGGCAGGACTTTTATTTTGACAGCGCTCACATTCCCCCTCTTCATGGTTTGCGGTCACAGTTTAACAGTTATTTCTAATAGGGATAGAAGTCTGTCTAATAATCAGATAGAATGCTAAACAAAGGAATTAAAAGGTATACAAAAAAGTATTATAACGAATGATTTTATATTATTAGCAAGAGAAAAGCAAACATAATACTTTCTCGTTTACCATCAGCATTCCACAAATATGCATTTATATGATTTAAATAGATCTTTGAATGTCTAATAAACATTTAATTTCACAAACCTTGCAGACTTAGATGGATCCAGCTGTGAGATCTTACAAAACGTGCATTTGTATCCTGTATGATCGCATGTTCTCTGCGTGAATTGAAATGCTGTATTGAATTGAGTAAAATTTTATGCTGTATTATGCGGTCATCTTACAGTGGAGAATTCAAATCTCATTAAAGAGCTTCTATAAACATGACCATAACAATATGTAATATGTAACTGCGCATGAGAGCAGTTTCTGCGCTGAACGCCACGATGAGTTTAAAGGGTTAGTTCAACCAAAAATGCTAATTCTGTCATTAATCACTCACCCTCGTGTTGTTCCAAACCCGTAAGACCTTTGTTCATCTTCGGAACACAAATTAAGATATTTTTAATGGAATCCGTCACACGGATACCCTGTTTTCGTTCAGATCAAATCACAACAACGTAGGAAACAGATCCGGCGTCACGCAGCTGACACAGAACAGCATACGTTGTTTACGTCTAACGGATATTCTCCAAAATGGCGCTACAGGGGTAGGCGGAGGAGACGAGTCGTGGAATAAAGTCGTTATTTTTTTTCTTTTGCACACAAAAAGTATTCTTGTAGCTTCGTAAAATTACAGCTGAACCACTGATGTCAAATGGATTATTTTACCGATCTCCTTGCTACATTTCTGGACTTGGGAACATTTCAGTTGCATTGCTGTCTATGCAGGGTCAGACAGCTCTCAGATTCCATCAAAAATATCTTAATTTGTGTTCCGAAGATGAACGAAGGTCTTACGGGTTTGGAACGACATGAGGGTGAGTAATTAATAGGGGTGCTCCGATCAGGATTTTTGAGGCCGATCACCGATCGCAGTCTTCGCAGATCACAGAAAGCAGTATCTGCCAATACCGATCACTGATACCGATCTTTTCAAAGCCTTCTTTTTATCATTTATACCTATTTATAATGATATTCCAATCAGGATTTTTAGACATTCTTTTTCAGCATTGCAATTCTTTTTTTACACAGTACAGTAGGGCTGTGTATCACCAGCAAAGTCACGATACGATACGTATCACGATACTTATGCCACGATACGATACGTATAACGATACATGACTGCACTGAATTTCACTTCAGCAGAATTGAGAAAAACAGCTGTTTATTAAACACTGCTTACTATAGTGCCATTTCTAACTATTGGCAGAGCAGGCAGTTGACCTCTGCATAATGAAGGGCCTCCATAACTGTACCACAGTACAATATAGGTAATGGCATATGTTTCATGTTTACATTGTGCACTCCCC